GGTATAAGTGATCATAGTTTGTTATTTGCTACCATGAAAATTTCTGATATAAAGAAACAAGAAAATATAGTAAAGATGAGAAGCATAAAAAATTTTAATGAATAAAAATTTGTTGCGGAACGGCTCAAACAACAATGGGAACAAGTGTATTTTTTTGCTGAAGACCCAAATTATATGTGAGAGATTTGGAAAAAAATATTCTTAGAAGTCCTAGATAAGCATGCACCACTTCAATGCAAAAAAATCAGGTCTAAAAAAGTCCCTTGGATTACAAGTGATATAAAGAAACTTATTAATACAAGGACAAATTAAAAAGAAAAGCCATTTCAACAAACCTAGAAAATGATTGGTTTGATTATAAAACGTGTAGAAACAAAGTAAACATAGAACTAAGGAATGCCAAAAAAGATTACTATTCCTCAAAAATATCTGGTCAAAAATTCAATCTTAAAAAAGCTTAGAAAAGTATAAACAACTTATTAGGTAGGCAAAACAAACCAACAGTGGTGAATGAGATTAATTTAAGGGGGGAAATTTTTACAACTCCCAAAGATATTGCAGAGGGTTTTAATGATTACTTTTCAAATATTGGACCTGATTTAGGTAGCAAAATTGATACTTCAAATTATAATTTTGAAACATATACTAAAACTGCTGAATCAGAATTTGCAGCATTCCTGCAGCCTGTTACTGTCAGTCATGTCTGTTGTTATTTGCATGGGCTTTCCAGCAATAAAGCCACTGGCATTGACTAAAATTTCTTGTAAAATTATTAAGTTAGCTGCACCAGCTATTGCAGACTCATTGACTTTTATTTTCAATCAGGCTATAACTCTATCCTCCTTTCCTAATGAATGGAAAATGGCAAGAGTAATACCTTTGTATAAAAATGGCCAACGGAATATTCCAGGAAACTATAGACCAATATCAGTTTTACCTGCGATTAGCAAAATTATGGAGTGAATTATGTATGATCAACTGTATAACTATTTAACAAAATTTGAACTCCTTAGCGATTCCCAATTCGGTTTTCGAAAATCTCATTCTACAGCAACTGCATTACTAGACTGTACTAATGATTAGTATATGAATCTAGACAGAAAAATGTTTAACCTAGTAGTAGTATGTTTAATCTTTGTAATAAAGAATACTAATGAGGACACGACTACAATAGATACTGCCCTATTAGTATTCTTCATACAGTCGAATCTCTATTAAGCGGCCACCCACGGGGTCGGCTTTGTGGCCGCTTAATAGAGGTGGCCGCTAAATAGAGGTACGCAAATAATAGACCCTGGGAGTAGTCAAATGCCTATTTTTAATTATAAATCACAGAGTACAGTAGTGAGTAGACTTTAGAAATATCAAGCCGCCAAACACTGACACTTTTACTACTGACAATGCTTTTGAAGTGTAAAATGGCATGTGTTAAAATACAATTTTTAAGCATTATTTTACAAATAAAGCAAATTAGCCTGACTTTTATTTGCGGCTCTCTTGACAAGGTGTTGCGCCAAGAAAATCCTGCAGGCCGGCCGTTTAATAGAAGTAAAAATTGACATAAAACATCATTTGGGACCGCTCTTTGGGTGGCCGTGGCCGCTTAATAGAGGTGGCCGTTTAATAGAGGGTGGCCGCTCAATGGAGGGCCGCTTAATAGAGGTTTGACTGTATAAAGAATACTAATTGGGAGTGTTTTATCAGGTTTAAAGCCACTGCACGTGACATATTATGGTTGACATGATTTTCCAATAAGCTTATGAATTATTAATGAGTGTTTGAACTTATTATAGAAAATTAACGATGCACTTTATTAACGCGGATTTTGAAAATTCGCGTTAATTTAATTAATGTTAATTTATGTGATCGTTAATTTTAAGTATGTAATTTTCATTTATCGTTAGTTAAAAATACCTAGATTTGTTTTATATAACACTAACTCTTTTATAATAAATAATAATAATAATCTGAGTATTTAAATATAGCGCTTAAATTTATGAAGTATTATTCTACAGCGCTTTACAATGGTAAACTTACAATAATAACTCAACTGACTCTATTCTTACGCCTTCCTAAATAGAAATGTCTTTAAATGAGTTTTAAAACAGTTAACAGTTTCACACCGCCTAATGTTAAGTGGGAGAGAGTTTCATATTAGAGGAGCAGCATGCTTAAATTATCTATCTCCAAGTGTTTTTGAGTTTGTTTTGGGAATTTGCAGCAACGAATAATCATCTGATCTTAAATGATAATTGCCTTCGGGTTTAAATGACAATAAGTCGGTGATGTATTGAGGTGTCATTCCATTTAGGGCTTTATACACTAATAAACCAATTTTAAATTCCACTCGAAACTTTATTGGTAACCAATGAAGATGCATTATAACTGGAGTAATATAAGAAGTTCTGGGTGTATAGCATATCATCCTTGCAGCGGCGTTTAGAACTCTTTGTAAGCGTTGATACTGATACTGAGGAATCCCAAACAATAGAGAATTACAGTAGTCTAGATGTGACGTTATAAATGCGTGCACAAGAGTTTTGGTCGCCTCCTGAGAAAGGAATTGCCTTGTTTGTCTGATGTTATATAAACCTCTGAATGCTTTGCTGCATACCTTTCCTACGTGAACATCCATGGACATGTTTTTTATCAAACCAAGCACCCAAATCCCGAACACTTTCCGCTGGTTTGATATTCACATCGCCTACTCGTACAGAGTTAATTTTTATCTTTTTTAACTGTTGGCGAGTGCCAATTATTAAGAATTCTGTTTTAAGATCGTTGAATTTTAATTTCTGTGAAACCAACCAAGCGCGAACCTCAGTTATACATGCTTCGACAACCCTGACTGCATTATTTTGACAAACAGGTGACTCAGGACAAAATGATAAATACAGTTGGGTATCATCAGCGTATCCATGGGAAAATGGTAAATGCTTTTTGATAATTTCAAATAATTTCGACACATAGAATAGAAAAAGTATCGGTCCCAGACAGCATACTTGCGGAACTCCACAGGTCACGGGAAAACTATTTGAGAGCACTTGGTTTACAGAAACAAACTGTTTTCTGTCTGACAGAAAAGATTTTAACCATCCAAGCGCGTCACCACTGATACCAAAATTTGATTTTAATAATTCTAACATGATTTCGTGGTCCACCATATCAAAAGCCGCACTAAGGTCGAGCAGTACAAGTAGCGTTACCTCTCGTTGATCCATGCTCATTAAAATATCTCTTTGAACTTTGACAAGAGCTGTTTCGGTTGAGTGAAATGAGCGATAAGCTGATTGGTTAGTGGGAAGAGGTGCATTATCTTCACAATAGTCAAGCATCAGACCGACAACTGCTTTTTCCGCAATTTTTGACACGAATGAGAGGTTATTTACAGGTCTAAAGTTTTCAAATAAAGCTTCAAGACCAAGTTTCTTTAATATAGGTACCAGAAGAGCAACTTTCCATGCTTCAGGAACATAGCCATCATGTAATGACATATTAATAACTTTCGTGATTACAGTTTTCAATTCATCGACGCATAATTTTACTAGCCAAGTTGGAATAGTATTCGATGAATTCATTATAATAACGCGAATCTCTTCTTCTTTTAGCTGGCGAAATAATGTAAGTTCAACTTTAGGTGGCTCATATTCAACTGATGGAGGTTGTACTGGAATGTCATCAATTTCGGTTCTGAATAGTTCGATCTTTCGGTGGAAGAACTCTCCAAAGTCATTCGCAAGTTGACCTAAGTCAGTGTGTGGAGGCAAGGGATTTTCCTTACGAACTTTAGAGAGAGTAGATACCACTTTGAAAAGTTTTCGTGAGTTACCGGAGCACTGGTCAATAAGTTCAGAATAATATAGTCGTTTGGCACTTTTCAATTTAGCAGAATATTTATTGCAAGAAGCACGATACAGTTTCTTGTCGCATTCACAGTTTGATTTTAACATTTTTCTCTCTAATTTTCTGCGGTTTACTTTCAGATGTTTAAGTTCATTATTGAACCACGGTATCTTGGTTCTCTTTCTTTGTACAGGAGCATGTTTCTCTAAAATATTAGACAGGGTTTCATCATAGCTTTGCACCAGGTCATTCAAATTAGCCCAAGTTTCGTCACATAGATTAGATGTAATAATGTCAGATTTAAACACATCCATGTTGATTTGTCTCATTTTACGAAATTGAAGTTTCTTCTGTCTAGGAATGGGACGAGGCACAGACAAACTACACTCAACAAAGCAGTGGTCGGATAGGAAAAAAGAAGCCTGTATTTTGCCAATTATGACATCACTAGATGATCTCGTGATAATAAGATCCAATATGTGATTGGATGTATGAGTTGGAAACTTAATATGTTATATGAGGCCAAATGTTTCCAGAACTTCAATAAATTTTCTACTATCTTCATCTGCTATATCATTGAGATGAAAATTAAAGTCTCCAGTTATTAAAAGTATTTCAGGGCACATAACGATGCTCTCAAGAAATGAGGAGAATTCTTCAAAAAACATATTCGAAGTGACAGCATGACTCTGGGAATATGGTGGACGATAAACCGCAACAATTTTAATAGCTTTATTGGACACTTTACAGTTCCATTCTGAATATTCGAATGAATGTTTTTCATCCCCATTAATAAACTTGATTTTAATACGGCTGCTACACATTACACCAGTTGCTCCTTCTATCAGATTGCCATGGAAAACTTTTAAAATAGTAGCCAGCTGGAGACAATGCCACAATACTAACAGAATCTATGTCTTTTAGCCAAGTCTCAATGATTACACATATGTCAATATTGTTCCCCAATATATGATCAACAAACTCTGCTGATTTGTTTTTTAGAGATCTTGCATTAACACTAGCAAAACGTATTAAGTTCTCTTTGCTGGACAAGGCAACTTGGGTTTTACTTATTTTAATTCTGACACAAATTTCCATATTTGCCCTTTTAATATTAGCTACAGGCCTACTCTTCTGGAAAGATGAATTATACGATCCTAAACCAACGTTCCATGCATCACCATGCGAACAAGATCTAAATGATTGGCCCAAACCATTGATCTGTTGTGGTAATTGGGGTGAAACACCAGTCGATGACGCGTGGTGTTACGAGTTTTAATATTCTTCGGTTTATCTTTACTGTCTTTGCGCTGTGTAATTCTTACTGGAATTTTTCGTTCTTTCGACAAAATACTAACTTCTTGAATATCGCCATTATTGATACTATTAATAATTGGCTCATTCTTGTAGCTTTGTCGACTTAAATTATCAGTATGTTTGCTGCAGTTTGATGAATCATTATTATCAATTTCCTTTGAATTTGCATTTTCAATTACTGGAGATTCACTTCCATTGTTTAATTGTTTGTTTGCAGATGCTGTGCTTACAATAGGGGCTTCACAGATGTCAAAATCAATTGTTTCTAACCTGCTTGAGTTGTCATCGGTATCTCCATTGCTGATACTATTAATAATTGAATTTTTGTTGTAGCTTTGTCGACTTAGATTATCAATATGAGTGCGGCTTGATGAATCATTATTATCAATTTCCTTTGAATTTGCATTTTCAATTACTGGAGATTCACTTCCATTGTTTAACTGTTTGTTTACAGGTTCTGTGCTTACAATAGGGGCTTCACAGATGTCGAAATAAATTGTTTCGAACATGCTTGAGTTGTCATCAGTATGTAAATTTCCGTGCAATAAAAAATTTACGTTCGACAAGGAGTGGTTTTCAACAATATTTTGTTTTAGCTTTCCCCCAACCACATCCAAAAGATTTAAGATCTTTGATTGTAAGCTTGTCATGTCCGATTTCATGCGTTCAATCTCAGGCTATAGTTCAAGGCAAGAACATGGCGCTGCAACACCAGCATCCACTGTTTATTGAACTACTCCGTATTCACCGTCAATCAACCGAAGTAACTTCAACACAACTTTGTTCGCATTATTACCCTCCACGTGTAATACCTTTTTATTCTTAAACCACTTCAATGATACAAAAACACTTGTAAATACCTTCTTATCACTACCCGGCGAAGTCCATATTCCAGTAAGCTGAAGTACATTCAGTGTAAAAATCTTTTAAGACTCAAAATCGCCATCCCAAGCCAAACAAAGCTTCATTATCGTCTATATATATATAAATGCAGTATGTTCTTTCGATTTAACTTTAACGATTTAACAAGTAAAACTTGCACAAAACTTAACAAGCTAGTTAAACTTGTAAAACCCGGCAAACCGTGCAATTGATGAGCATATGACTATTGATTGAAGATGTAGAAGTTAATTCAAAGTAAAGGCACCACTGCGTATGCACGTACCGTATACATATGTATCAGTTTTAATATCAAAATACAGCATATTAACGTGAACTAAAAACATCAGTGCTCCTCTTAACATTAAACCTTTGTTGTTGTTGTTGTTGTTGTTGTTGTTGTTGTTGTTGTTGTGTCCATATTTTCCTATTCGCGTTAACTTAATTAATTTGTCAACCATGGAGATCAGATTCGCGTTAATATAATCATGTTTTAAAAGACCTAGAAGCAATCCGCGTTAATTTGATGTCGTGTTAATTTATGTCGCGATAATAAATAGATCATCTGCTAATGCCAACGCAATCTCATTCCGTCAACGAAAACATAAAACAACAACTTATAATCGATCATTCTTTCTTCGAACAACTAGAACTTGGAACTCTCTCCCGGAGCATTTAAGGCTAATTAATCTATCTTTTATTCAATTTAAGAAAGGAATATTAGCATACTACTTAACTGCATTACGATCGTGCTACAACGTTGACGATTCACGAACTTGGAAGACTGTCTGTGTCAAATATGTAACACATGCAGAAGTCTCATCCGACCATTAACTTGCTGTTACTAGAGGGGCGTTTGTACATTGCGATTTGTCCTGTGCGATTCGGGTTCTGGTTTATGAAATTCATTTGATGCCTCAATTCCAAAAATCCGAATTGAAGCGAAACTTTAAATTCACAATTGACGCGTGCCTACTCGATTGGATTCGCCAATACGAGTCGTACACGGCGGATCGCGGTGTGTAAACGTACCTTAAGTAAACTAAGTATAATTACATAGGTGATTATTGAAAATTTTCCACGCTGATTGGTTGCCGTTGAGGTGATTATAACGCGATAATCACCTAAGCGATTTTCGAAATATTATGGCGGCCGTCGGCCGAAGCCGTTTTGACTATTAAATGACGAAGAAATGTGTATTTTTATATTTTTTTTCCAGATAATCATCCATGAAATTATACTAAAACTATTATTCGCCTCAGGCTCGATGGTTATTGTTAAATGAAAACTTCGACTTTGTCTCTGTCCCTAATCACCGATAATCACCTAGCCTTCGGCGAAAAATTGTTAATTATTTCTGTTTTCTATATTTATATTGATATTTTGTAAAGGGCCGCTGTAATTGGTGTTAAGCTGTTGTGGTGTCCCAGCTTCTTTAATGCAATTATTGTATTATGTTTGGAAGCGAAGCACAATAAATAAATAAATAAATAAATAAAGTGCATCGTTAATTTCCTATAATAAGGTATGTTTTATCATTTTTTCAAGGAAAACATTTTATCATAATCAAGGGAGCGATGTTATCATTGCGGCTCATTGTGATTATTGTTCTATTGACATTAACTGGAGCAACCCAGGGCACTTTCTTCGAAGAATTGAATGAAATCTGCTACGAGAAAGAACGTGATGAAGCGCGTAAGTACATGCATGTGTATTAATTAACAAAATGACAATTGTTGTCAAAGATCGAGTGTTGCACCCCGGTAATCGTGAAAAGATTACAGAGCACCTTTGAACCCCCCCCCCCAATCCACTTTTGAGCTACAGTATATTTGCAAGTGGCGCGAAGATACACATTTGTGTTGTAAAACGTGGACTAGACTCGGAAAACACGAATTCAGTCAGCGATTTGCAAAACGTGGACTCAGTATGTGTTTTTACAAATCGCTGACTGATTCCATGTTACATCCAAGCTTAAGATATCAAAAATGCTTATTACATTAAGTCATTGGGTAGAAATCGTTGCTTCTTTATATATACAGGGTGTCCTAAAAAAGTACTCTCTATAGAAATTTATCCCATTGTTGTTAAGCACAGGATTTTATACGACTGGTAATTAAAAATTCAATTCAATTGTGTTTATTACGCACTCTTGTGTTCAGCATGGTGCTCTGGCATTCAAGATATAACAATAGGATAATTTCTATAGAGGGTTTTTTTTTTGGGACACCCGGTATAACAGTCGCTTGTTGGATAACTAAAATAGTCTCAATAACTAATCGCCGGCAGCGTTTCTGGCGTAAGCCTGGTGCGAGGCTATTAATTCCGCACGGCTATTTAGCCCCGGGGAAAGCACTGGCGAAGTCTAAAGTTCATCAATAATCGTGGACGCATGGCTATAATTATGGTTCAACGTTCGTGGGTGGTCATCCTCACTGATCTCACAAATATGACGGACTATCATGAATGGCGAACACTGATTGGCCAAATTTAAAATTTGCTTTATAACGAAATGATTTTGAAAGAATATCACGACAAGGTTTTTCCGACAGTGTAGGATAGTTTTTGCTTATATGTTTGAAGTTAATGTTTCGGAGTTTTAAATAAGTTTTAAATTGTCCGTGAATATTTTTGACACAGTAAAAATAAAGTAATCCTACCTTTCAAGTTAAACGCAAAATGGTGTGCTTCTTTCGTCACATTTACTGGTCAACTTGGCAATCAGAACGCGTGAAAGCTCATTTGGTAAGCTATGCAAAATTTGGACTAATGATTAAGATTTTGACATTTCTTTATTTACAGAATGCCCGAGCAATGAGCAATGCAAATGTGTTGAGAGAGGAGCTTTTGGGATTCGCAGCCGGAAATACGAGGGAAATATAATCAAACAAAAAAGTAATGTACCTTGCAAATAGATTTTTTCGTTTAAAGATGTCCAAACTATTCATTGCAAATAGTCACGAACAATTTAGATAATCAGTAAGGTTATTATAAGTAAAAGCCACGAAGATCTAATCTTGTACAATGATTAAAAAACTTTTAACGAAATTCCTGAGAATTTAAAATGTGATACATGATCTCTATAATACTATAAACTTGGGGGGAGGATTGTCCCCAAGCCTCTGTTGTGTCTCCTAAACTCCTATGCCGTTGTCTAAAATGTATATAAAGAAGGGAAGTATAACTTAAGAAGAGTGTTTTGGTGGATGAAAAAATTAAATGTCAAATGTTGAGTCTTAATAAAAATGCTTATATGCTTACAAATACCAAATTTTCCAGGAGAAAACCGCCAGATCCCCGACAATTCCAACTTTTCCCATTTACCACCTCTTAGTTAGGTATCTTTTCCTTCGCGGCTTCTCCACTGACAAATTCTTAAAAAGATACCGTGCATGGATGTTCAATTAAAATCACCAGGTGGACGCGCATGCATGATGTTTAAGAACAACGGATTACTTCAAAATATCGTTCAAACGCCCGATCACTGTTTGAAGAAAGAAAATTACTTCTCATGCAATTCCATGGCAATAAAGGTCCGCTGCTCAAGAAATAAATGCGTAGCGGCTCTCAGGAAAAGGAGAGCCTGCACGAGATCTACTGTTTTGCCATTAATTCCCGCCCACGTAGCCAGCGGGCTACGCCCACTTTCAACAGATGTCAAAATTGGCCAATCGCACGGATTGTTTACGTTTTCAAATGTACTTGTCAAAATGAAATAATACAAATTACTTACGTTTGCAAATTTCAAAACGAAATAATATACGGATGTCGGCTGTGGGAATAGCGCTAGAGCAGTCTCCATCGTCTTCACAAGTAGTTTGCAGTCCATGTGCGAGAAAGCTACGACATTTCGTGAATACGTACAAATTAATTTCGATCCGTGATGTAAATGTCAAAGTTTCGAGCTATGCAGGGAAAAGAAAGACCCTGCGAACGAGGTTGAAGCATCCCCAGCACTTCTCTCTTGGTACAAAATTATTAGCTACAAAAATCATCAAGAAAAAATCTATTTGTCGTCGATAAAAACAAACACGCTCGTGAAAGAGAGTCGGCTACCAGACAGCAATCCATCGAAGACACCACAGCCACTATCTCTAGAGCTTCATTAACAAATTTCGTAAACACCTTTTCTGCAGTTCATCCTTCAATGTCAAAACTCAATAAACACCTCTTAAATGCATCCGCAGTGTTTGTTCACAATCAAGCTATCAACCAATGATTATTTTAGCATAAATTAACTAGCATACAGTATTTTTCATTTTGAACCAATCAGATTTCACGTCCTCTGGGAGAACGAGTAAAAACGGCAAAGCATGGGGTTTCGTACAGGTTCTCAATTCCCTGAGAGCCGCTAAGCAGGCTAGAAATAATTCAATAGAATATGAATATATAATACGTCTTGTTTTCAATATAAATAGTTCTAGAACAATAATATGAATAGTTCTAGTACAATTAGCCAGTTAACTATTTTTTTGTTTGCAACTCTAGACTTGGCAGATGGATCTCCCTGTGAGCACCGTATACGTAGAAATGTCATGGGGTTGAGCAAGAAAGAAAGACTACGATACATCAATGCAATAAAAACTTTATCAACGCACCCTCGTTACCAAAGGGAATATTACGATTTGCTAGAAACTCACGAGTATCATTTTTGCAAAGCACTACATTGTAGCGTATTTTTTCTACCTTGGCACCGTTGGTTTATTCTACGTTATGAAAATCTTCTGAGGAAAATCGATCCTGACATTACTTTAGTTTACTTGGATTGGAGCATGGTGATGGGAACCCCTTGGGATATAAATCTTTGGGATGACAATGATTACTCTTTTGGCGGAAATGGAGATCCCGCGGTTAATCATGTAGTGAACACTGGTCCGTTTAAACAACCTGAGTGGAAAATGGTGCCTGGATCGGGGCCAGATTCCACCTTGGAAATTAAAAGGTATTTCAATTATACAAAGCCTGATATTGCGAGCGCTCTTCATCTTGCAATTTTGTTCAAATTAAAACCTCGCGATTTTATGGAATGGATGACTGTCTACCAATGTTGGCACAATAATTTTCACTGCTCTGCTCTTGGATGGAACAGTACAATGTGTAAGACAAAGTCAGCTTGGACGCCAGAGTTCTTTCTGCATCATACGTACTTCGATAAGTACTGGTCTGAGTGGCAGGAACAAGGAGATGATTATAGATTCAGTCAGTACTGGATGAATCAGACGCGGTTTATGCAGGCAACAGATTACTTACCAAGGGATGTTTTAGATCTAAAATACCAAGAAGGAAATGTATGTGTATCATATGAAGAATCTTCAGATGATTGGATACACAAAAAGCTCAGAAGTAAGTACATGTTGAGTTTCAAACCAGTTCATCTGTTTTCCTTTAGAACAAAATATTATATAATCCCATTTTCCCGTTCCGAAATAGCTTACATCTCTTGGCAATTATTGTGGAACTTTCACAATATTGGGAGACTGCGTTTATGTGAAGTCTATACTAAATCCAAATTAAACGTTTTGTCTTTGGCATTTTATATGCGCACATGCATATATTAAATGTATTAAGCATAATATCAGGGCTTTATCCAAACACAAACTTACCTCCGGTAAACGGAGGTCAAAACTCAATTTTGGATTGAATTTTTAAACTGATTCTTTCCCTCAACGAAAAAAAAACAACAAAAAATCATTTTTGCGCGCATTAGTTTTTGAAATTCGGAGAAACAGGGTTTTTTGAGCTGGTTTTTTTTTAAATATAGTAAAACGTCATGTTTTATATGTTATAAAGCTACCTCTATCGTATATTTGCTTTGTGTCCACCATGCTTAGATGGCTGCATGTTTGGATTTCTAATAGAAATGTCGATCAAATCAGCACAAAATTAAATGGAATGATTGAAGACTAACAAATATTACAACTGCAAAGTGAATTTTTCGAACGAAAATCTAAAATTTACACAACCTTGAACCGAAGGCTCGAATAGGATAGTGCGACACAAAAACTGAATCTTCTTTTCTACAACGGGTGTCAGCAAAAGTGCCTGGATAAAGTTCTGAATATATAATGGCTTTTCCCGGGTTTGTATAGGAAATGAGTTTCTTCTATTTTCCTTTTATTTCCCTTCTATTCATATATTAATGAATGCAAGTCCTGCAATTGCCAGGGACGTTGCATGGGAAAATCTTTGTCCGCCTCGCTATAACGTTTTCTGCCTGAACGCATATGTAGTGGAAAATAAAAATAACACTCACATTCTGATTCAACAAAATTAACGATCAAGTCAAGCACAGGACCAACTAGGATCAAGTCAATCACGGAACCATCTACCATCAACAAACAAGGAAGAAATTAATGGGTTTTTAGTTGTATCAATGCAATAAAATATATTTCACAGTTATTCCCATTTGATATACACTTTCATCATTGATTGTGGCTGAAAGATTGCAGTTTCAAAATGTAAGGTAAGGTATTTAGTCACAGAGAACTGATCTTATAAAAACCCTTACATTTTAGATTTAACACTGAACCAATTGAGAGATATCAGGGGACTCCAAATCGTACCATTAACTGATCCTGGAACCAAATATTTTGATATGTCACATAAAATATTTCTGAAAACCATGCATGATTTTATCAAGAATAATGCACTTCGATATCCAGTAACTTTGACCGATCTTAGTGGAACAGACCGAGCACGTGGCTTTTTTCTTCATGATTTGTTAGTGATGTAAGTGTATACGATAGAGAATATATAAAATGTAAATTTTATCATTTAAAGACCCACCGTTTGGGGGACTCGGAGAAATATGGCCTGAAGGGCTTCGCCCCGAGTGAAATATCATCACTGAATGTAATATTTCGCCGAATCCTAGCTCGAACGGAGGATCTATAAATGGTATACTATGTTGAAAGTTAAAGAACCATCTATATGAGCTAATTTATCCTTTGGATCATTGAAGGTATAAATAAAACATGAGCGTGGTAATTCATGATGTTGTCATAAACGGCAACGGCAACGACTTTTACTAAAACTAAGGGATCGGTCATTAATAATGGGTGGGGGCGGTGGGTGATAAATACCAAATATTGAACATTTTTTAGAGCCGCCTCAATCGAAAGACTTTTATTTTCAAGACGCCCCCACCTTCAACTAAAAAATTAAGGACCCCACCCTTCCAACATTTAATTCGTTACAAAAGTTATATTTTTAATAAATCAGTTACTATAAAATAGTACCAAAAGGTGTCCGCCACCGGCACCAATTCAGGCAAAATTGGTTGAAACCGCACCTCTTTTCTCACCCACCGCTCCCCCTCCAATTTTTAATGACCGGTCCCTAAACAAAACGAGAGGGAAACTATTTTCATGACGATCCTGTATATGATTTTAAATTATTTTATTTCAAAATACGAGTAACAAGTTGAAATATTTAATGGAAAGAAGCAGTTAATTTCGATGAACATTCAAAAATGTTTAAAATAATTGTACGACATTGAATGCAAAATTACATACCTACAGTACTTTACACATTTTGGGAATCGATAGTTCTATAGTTAAACTAGTGTAAATTAAAACATGCGTTCAACGCGAGCCAGCGTTCAGTGTTGACATGGTTAAAAATTTTACTTTATGTTGAAACAATGTTTGAAAAATGTGGCCAGAGTTTGTTGCATGCATGTATTTCTAGTCATAAAATATTTAACAATTATTCGCCGAAGGCGAAGTGATTACCGGTGAATATTCACCGAGACGAAGTCGAGGTGAATATTCACCGTAATCACTGAGCATGAGGCGAATAATTGTTTTAGTATACATTTTTAATGAATAAAACAAAATATCCGAATATCAGTTCAATTAAATTTCAGAAATAAAACTGTTTTCGGCCTGTTCACTAATACTAATAGTGTAACAGTGTTTGTTGTACACACACGCTTTCAAAATGGCTACTTGTGTGACTTTATTGCTTTACTGCAAAGTTGTTTTTCTCGATTTCTGCTTGGAATATAAACACAATAACGGAATGACTCTTTCACTAGACTTAGAATTAAACATAGTTTCTGTTTAGCATTAATTTCTTCAGGAAATGAATGAGGAATTTGGTAAAATGAAATGTAAAAGTATTATCGTTCAACTGATAAAGTTTTAATAACACTTTTCACTTTACAAGTTTCGAAATCTAAACACAATACAGCGGTCAGAACACCATACAGCACAATGAAAATATGACATATCAAAAGGAATAGTATCGTACAAATTGGGAAATCTATAGCATACAAAATGAAATGGATTTTAAAGAATATCACGGCAAGGTTTTTCCCAAAGGTCGGGATTATTTTTGCTATTTGTTTGAAGTGAATGTTTCGGAGTTTTATATAAGTTTTAAATTGTCCGTGAATATGTTTGAAACAGTAAAATAATAAAGGAATCCTATCTTTCAAGTTAAAGTTTCAAGTTTTGTGCTTGTTTCGGTTTCTGGGGACGATTTTTTCAATATTTTGTCGATTTTGAAACCAAATTTGCCGAATCATTCTTTTTGAAAAGCATTATTTACTATCCAGGTGGTAAATAATGCCTCAGATTTACTAGTCAGCTAGTCAATCGGAACGCGCGAAAGCTCATTTGATATGCAAAATTTATACTAAACGTGTTTATTTAAAATATGCTCCTGAGCGCTTTAATTTTAATTGATGTTGTGAAAAACTAATTAAAATACCATACGTCATTAAGCGCTCAAAAATACTGCTCACGTTGCCAGTCATAACTGAATTATTTTAGAAGAATCTTGAGTAATTTCAAGTACAGCAACTGAAATATGAGATTTTAAAATTACATGGGCGGATCTATGGCCTCATCTGCGCATGCGCAACAAGGAGAGATTCAGCTTCTCCATGCGGTGGTGCATGAGAGAGCGTTATGAAAGAAAGTTGAATATCTTGCAGAGGAAGGCAGTTACGAAAATTCTATAAAAGAAATTATTAAGTCATTTTAAGTGATCTTTACAATGCAAGCATGCATAAACAATTGGGGGGAAATTTCGTGTCATAGGCACTTTAAGAAATGGTTTAATGATTGGACAATTACTCCAGATTCGATATCGTAGATCATTCGTAAGAAAGATGACGCTTTTTTAGCTATTTACCCACACATCTAAAATTTAGAATCCTTCGAACCGGATTCGAACCAGTAACCTAGGGATTGTCATATTGCTGCGAACAACTACAGTACCCCGCTATACCAACTGAGCTATCGAAGGAGATCTGGTAGCGTTAACGTTGGAGACAAATAGTTTTAAAAAGTACCATGCATTCATATTCAAAACATGCTCCTTACCCCTTTTAATTAATTAAATTGATGTTAATTGTCACTATAAATTGCAGTAGCAGATCGGTGGCAACACACAATTATGAATGCATGCAACCATTGAACATTCAAAGCAAACTTGCCGTATATTTCACAATTTCCCATAGTAAATAAATTCTTCTCATTTCTTCAAACAAAATTGCTTCAAAATTTAAATTGATATCTTCCTTATCCCACTCCTAGGAATCTACCCATATTTTTGAGATCAGTGTGGAGGTCCACCCATTCACTTCGTTAATGCTGTCCTTTCCTTTCCCAGAGGGTAAATAGCCGGGCCGAATTAATACCTTCGTACGGCGCCCAGCGGCGTTGTTCCGGGGATAAATAGGGAACTTAAACACCGACGTTTTTTGATGCGGCGACCGAATGTCGATTTCGCTTCCAGCGACTTTTTTGAATTTATGTTATGAAATGAGTTGTTTTGATGTCGTGTCTAAAACGTGGTTGAGCGTGGTTCAAACAAGTTTCTTAGAACGTCCAAGGTCGGCCAAAAATGGCAATAAATGGCAAGATTACAAATACGAAACCAAAACCAATAGAGTGGACAGAAGACCACGACTTGTTGTTGATGAGAGAAATTATGATTAGTGATCTTTTTCTCCATAAGAAGGGGAGTCCTAATAGAGGATTGAAATCTTTTCTTTGGATTGAAATACAAAAGAAGTGTACGTGACAGAACGAAAACCAGGGAAGAGAAAGCTGCAAGTGGCATTGGTGTGGATGACCTTACAGAGAGCAAGAGAGAGAGCTTAATCGAAGAGTTGTGTGATAGAGAAGAAAGCTTTGTTGATGTTGACTCAGTTCGTAAACAAAAAGAAAAAGTAAATGCGGAAGACATCAGAATGAAGCCTTTAGAGCGTATGGGTGAAACGAAGAAATGCACGTGTCGTGAGCTTGATGGGTATTCTGAACCGAAACAACACGAATTAGGGATAGCTGCATGATACATTTAGCCAAAAAAAGTATTTGCTGTGTGACAACGTTTAAGAACTTATCAACACGACCAAAACTTTAACGAGCGAACAGGGCCGTAGCTAGCATGTATAGTTGGGGAGGGGGGCGGTGTTGAGCAAAAATTTTCAAATGACGAAAAAATTTTCCGAATATTTCATGGAATACGAAAGCATAGATTTATTAAAGCTTTTAAGGGTTTTTTGACAGAATTGAGTCAATCATTGACCAAATACAAACAAAATATGCATATTTTACGCATAGACCTATTACAGAAGAAATAGACCGAAAAATATTTACCGATTTCAGTGCCGTAGGAATTTCTTTTTGATTGGGGTGGGAGCTGAAAACGAGGGCCGATGAAATTTTAAAATTTAGAGTCTCTGAAATGCCATTTCCTGGACTTTGGGGAAGATTTGAAAGAATTCTGATGGTCAGAAAACAGGGTTTTAGTATTTCGAAATTTACAATTTGTTTACAGTCAATTAGTAGTACTAAATGGGCGAAGGCGTATTTAATTAACTACCGTATTAATTCGATAAGTTGCAGGAAAGTATGGAAAATATCTTCATTCTTTGCAGTTTGTCATGGATAATGTATATAGCCGCTTAAAATTAATCAATTGTCAGTATTTTAAAGGGTATATTATTTAGATGACAGAGGAGGTTGGACAGCTGTCACGTGAAAATCTCGACCAATGAAATCGCGCTATTTTCCCATCGTGTTTGCGAAGATTTTTGGCCGTCAAATTTGCATTGGACACAGAAGAACTCGAAAATATATATAAATATTCAAATTTTTCTATCAAAATGCAACCATGGCCTTAGTATTATAAATGGACTGGCGATATGTGCAAGAATTTCTGAGGTAAACGTTATTTTTTAACCTGTTTTCGATGATTAAAGTTGGTCATGCCGTGGCAACGTGACGACTCAAGTCCGAGTCTGTTTACAATTTTCAAACTAAAAAATCTGGAATTCCCATGGTTCGATTTTCGTAATTTTTGCAAAAAAGTCAAGACAAATGTCTAAACTAAAAATCTGCTGGAGGGATCCCCGGGATCCCCCGGCAGTTTTCGAGATATTTGGCATTGAAGTGACCATACTCAATTCAACCTTTGCCAAAATGGCGTCTAATATCTGGGGAAGATATTGCGCCACCAAAGCTTGGTTTTCACAATGAATTTTGAAAGTCCCCCAATATTAGGATCACTTTTCTTTACAGTAAGTGTTAAATTACTTTTGAAAGACTATTTAGAAGACTTAGGAGTTATTTGCCTGTTTTTACAGATTTTATATCTGGGCTGGGATTACTAGTCTGCATGCCCATCTCCTTGACAAGTGAAATTGTCTGGTGGTAGAGACGATTTTAAAAGAACAGCACATTATAAAGTGATCAGATTTTCTCTCAGTGAAAAATTCTATGTTCCTTTTTAATTACAGCAGTTCAGATGTCGATATAGAATTGAAAAAGGGCTTCTTCCTGAACATCCCGCAAGGGCAGGGCCAACTGACGATGTTGAAGAATGAAGACATTTTAGCATGGATTACTAGTATA